GAGAGAGAGAGAGAGAGAGAGAGAGAGAGAGAGAGAGAGAGAGAGAGAGAGAGAGAGAGGGGCTGGTGGAGGGGGATGATGAGACAATGGCGGCTGTGGACGACGAGACAATGGGGGAAATGGACAAGCGAGGACCGGTGGAAGACACCGGACTACCGGGCGGACCAAAGGCAGCAACGTGGGAGGTGCCAGACTCTGCGAAGTTCGAAAAGGAAAACAAAACTTTTGCCCCCAATGCCCGCGGCCCGAATTGTTTTTTACAGACCTCCGGTCATTTTATGCAGAAGGGGGTCTAGCCTCCTAGCAGCGCCTTTTTTTTCGTTTCTTCGACGCTCAAATTTGTGTGTGCAGTGCACCGCACACACGAGCATCGAGCGCTGTGCGCAATGCGGCGCATGGGCGCATTGAGATCGCCGCATGTATGGTTAGAACCCAGAACTTAGAAACATTACAAAAATGTCGCAGTTATTATGACAGCCCGCTCAAAAAGTGCGCAAAAGATGCAACCGATTGGTTCCAGTGGTGCTATATTTGCAAACTAAGGAAACAATTGAACTGGCTATATTTTCATTGAGCAATGAGCATATATAGCACCAGACGGGCCTGATTCTAAGTGTATTGTGGTGGATTGGTCTGATTGTGTACTCCTTCCAGCTAACTGTTGTGGCTGTCCTTTTCCCTTTTTTTTCAAACAACCTACTAAGGCTTATCAGCCGCGGCACCGAGTCTCGCATCTGCAATGGTCAACGTTAGTGTTTTTGCATTGCGAAGCGTGAGATGTCTGATGTAAAATTCTGATGCGCGATCGTTTGCATCGCGAAGCGTGAGACGTCCGATGTAAAATTCTGATGTGCCTGACGCGTCTGATGCGTTTGGCGTTTGTTTTTTTCTCGGGCGAGTCCGGTTTCGTTTCGTTTTTGCGTTCTCTTTTATTCTTTGGGCCTCACTGCACTACTCTTGAAATACGGACAGATACACGGTCATGATTTTTGTTTTTTGTGGATGTCGAGAGTAGTGAATCTTCCGCTAGAATACAGACAGATACACGGTCGTGATTTTTGTTTTTTGTGGATGTCGAGAGTAGTGCAGCGAGGTCTGATATAAAATTCTGACGCGCCTGATGCGGCGTGCCTGATGCATCTGACGCATTTGGCGTTTGTTTTTTTCTCGGGCGAGTCCGGTTTCATTTCGTTTTTGCGTTCTCTTTTATGCTTTGGGCCTCGCTGCACTACTCTTGAAATACGAACAGATACACGGTCATGATTTTTGTTTTTTGTGGATGTCGAGAGTAGTGACTCTTCCGCTAGAATACGGACAGATACACGGTCATGATTTTTGTTTTTTGTGGATGTCGAGAGTAGTGCAGCGAGGCCCTTTGTCGTTGGCTGTTGGTGCTTGGGGCCGGTCGGTGTGTGCTTGGGGCCGGTCGGTGTCGGTGGGTGCTTGGGGCCGGTCGGTGGGTGCTTGAGGCCGGTCGGTGGGTG